TGTCAAATGTAAGATCATATGTATCACATGTACACCTAATAACACCTGATCCACCTGGGGGCTGGAAGTGGTTTCCAGCATTCAGTGTTTGTCTTAAGACAAAACTAAAGCTCTCGGTTGATGGGGTAGCGAGGCTTACTGACTTGTGTATTCATATCATCGTATCCTAGTTGTTTAATAAGATACTCATTATGTCAAACACCGCCTCCGTGGTGTAGTGGTTAGAGTGTCCGCCCGGAGAGCGGAAGGTCGCGGGTTCGATCCCCGACCGCGTCATACCAAAAGACGTTAATATATGGTACTTGTTGGTCCCTGCCTGGCGCTCGGCATTAATGGGTACAACAAGGACTGGTCGGCTCGGAGTCAGTATAATGTGTCTGAGTGGGGTATCCATGTTTCACTGCGGCATGGTATCTCAGTGGGCTAGCACTATAAACCAGCTTAAGTCTGGGCTAGCACAAGCAGCCGCACATACACATACACACACATGCACGTCGTCATATGAGCGAAATATTCTCAAGTACGACGTTAAACCCAGTTTCACCTCACCTCATTATGTCAAACACTGGGTTGTCTCGTCCAGACCAGATATGCATAGTTCATACAACTGTAATAGTACGCCGATTCACAAACAAACAAACAAGTATAAAAACGGGTTATTCCCACTTGTCCGGCAGGCTGAGGGGATTAAGAGTTATGGGTGAACGGTTGTGCAAAGTTTGTTGATCCCTATGAAAAAAGGTCACACACACACACACACACACACACACACACACACACACACACACACACACACACACACACACACACACACACACACACACACACACACACACACACACACACACACACACACACACACACACTCACACACCATCCTCGTCCAGCCGGCTAGGGGATTAGTGAACACCGCTCACCATATCCTGCAAGCGGATATGGCTGCAGTGATGAGGTGCAGTGTTGCATTTAACCGGGTACTAGTGATCTAGAATTAATGTACAAATGTATTGTATGCAACATGTGCAATAATTGCATGTATCTGTGTATTTATAAGTGATATGCAATATGAAAAATGAATGAAGATATGTGCAATAGATGTATGCATGTAAAAGTGCTCATGAAATGTGTAAAATAATCGTGTAACTGTGTGAGATTTTTTTCCTTTTTGTACTTAAAGTCATCATTAAATATTGGGCAACCAAATATTCTCTGACCGGCTTGGGTGACCAAATATCACAGACCGACAGGGGGGTTGTATCCCATCCCATAACCCCTACATGCCACTCTTAAGTGGATTAGTCCATTGTGTGGAATAGGTAACAGGCAGTGGATTAACAGTGCAACAGACCGTAAACTATGTTGTTATAAGCTGTAGGGGTAGTGGCATGTAGGGGTAATGTGGGGTTACCGACAGGGGAGCAAAATAAGAAGTTCACCTTTTGTTCTCAGCGATTATCGCGCTCCACTGATCTAGAACCTTTAAACAATAGGTGCCGGACACGTGGGAAGACCCCCTTAAAACAAACAAACCAACCCACGTGGCAAGCTGGTCCAACTTGAAGTGAACTGGTTAAAGTTCGCCAGTATTTTTCATTAACAACCATAGCAACCGAGAAAGTTACGACTTGACAGACCAAAGGTAAATGATAAATTGACACTTTTTTCAAGTTTAAAAAGCGTTTCAAATAACTAAATTTTAAGCAAATCATGCCTTCAATACATCATTAGCAACAGTTTTACTTCTACAAACGGACCAGCCTCACGGGAGCCACACGGTGATTACTGTGGAGTAGGTTTGGAGCTTTCTTCCTCTTCCATAAGAGATAATAAGTAGGCCATCTATGTGTACTTTACAGTAATGTACTGTGCACTCTGGTAGCCTAGTGGTTAAAGCGTCCGCTCGTCACGCCGAGGGCCCGGGTTCGATTCTCCGCTTGGGTACAATGTGTGAAGCCCATTTCTGGTGTCCCCGCAGTGATATTGCTGGAAGGTCGCTAAAAGCGGCGTAAAACCACAGTAATGTAGAGTAATGTAGAGTGCACAGTAATGTACTGTGCACTCTACTTAAATACAATGGTAGCCTAGTGATTAAAGCGTTCACTCGTCACGCCGAGGGCCCGGGTTCGATTCTCCACTTGGGTACAATGTGTGAAGCCCATTTCTGGTGTCCCCGACGTGATATTGCTGGAAGGTCGCTTAAAGCGGCGTAAAACCATACACACTCACTTAAATACAATGCATAATGATTACAAATACATAGCCTCGATCTGTACACTGATTATAGTCAAAACTGATATAATAATATGTCATTCGAACTTGGTTTTGTTTTGTTTCGTTTGTTGTTCAACGCCGCATTCAGCAATATTCCAGCTACATGGCAGCGGTCTGTATATAATGGAGTGTAGGCCAGACAATCCAGTGATCAACATCATGAGCGTCGATCAACGCAACTGGGGTACGACGACAGTGAAAGTGGTCGAATGTAACATATATTATGTTTGGGATTACCCTTTCTAAGATTAACTAACAGATTCTAGTACTTTTGTTGGGTTATTCCCTTCCGGGATTCAAACCGAGACCCTCAGAGTCAGGTACTAAATCGCAAGCACACCAAGTTAGACGCCTAACCCGCTCAGCCAGCGCGACTTCCACAAAAATGGAAGTCGGACAACTGGTAGTCTACACCACGGACTTTGTGTACCCCTCTGATAAGACTTAGTGTAAGTTGTTTGACTAAACATAACAAAAGTACTAGAATCTGTAGTTTACTAGTGAGTGAGTGAGTTTAGTTTTACGTCGCACTCAGCAATATTCCAGCTATATGGCGGCTGTCCGTAAATAATTGAGTCTGGACCAGAAAATCCAGTGATCAAAAGCATAAGCATCGATGACATGTGTCAACCAAGTCAGCGAGCCTGACACCCGATCCCGTTAGTCGCCCCTTACGACAAGCATGTGTTACTGAAGATCAATATTCTAACCCGGACCTTCACGGGTTCTGTACTTTACTAAGAAAGAGTAATCCCAAATATAATTCTGTACTTATATTGTTTAATGAACGGGTTAGTAGGGTTTAAGGATGCATTGTACAGTATTCCATTAGCTATATTCGTAGTAGTATTATACTAATAGCTCAGCTGCTTAAAGGCGCTTTGGTTTTCCCTCGATCATTGGATGTCACAGTCGCACGGCACATCATATTATCAATCTCAACTTGCCGAGTTAATGTGGCTTTACCATCCGTACGAGGTACCCATTCACAGCTGGGTGGACAGGGACACATAGTCACATTACTTTGTCCAACTTTACTGCACGTTGCTGTACCCGCAACTAGGTGTTTGCACGTATTCATGTGGCCACCATCTGGTCATATACCAACGGGTTCGTGGGTTCTTTTAAGTGCAGAGGGTTGTATACTGTACACTAGGGGTTGTGACAACACTGAAAGAGTCTGCACACAAAGTTGTCTCCAAGGGTTTTACACCCGGTCACAGGTGGGCTCGATCCGGCACCTCAAGCTAGCTGGATCACTAGCCTGGCGCCTTAAACAGTTCGCCCTCCACGTCCCATAGTATACCATGTCAGCTTAATGTAATAGGAAAGTCCGAAGTGATTTGAAAGCACGATCACAGGTGTCTGGGTCGCCAAAGGTCATCGAGCGTGCCTTACACGACTGAGGTACCCATCCTCTTGACCTACTAGTCAATGCCCGTACATTTGTATGTCGCGAGGCGTGAAAAAAACCCTCACAACGGTATATTGGACTAAGGCATCGTGCATCACCTTGAAAAAGAATAATTATATTATTTTTAAAAATAATCCACAGAGCTATTCGTGTCGTATTGATTAGTGATTGAATCAGCAAAGAAACTGTATTGCTATTTAGGTGAGTGAGTTAATATTTAACGTCACATCGTACATGAAGATCCTACTTTCTGTGAACTAAGGTCCCAAAATAAATGATGTGTCAGCATTTAAAATTGAAACATTGTGAAACTAAATACTGTCGTCTGTGCCAGGCTGACCTCTTACCTTAAACACCATTTATTTAAATATAATTCATACAAAAACATGTTTTGATATAGTTTCAGCTGTCGCCGGTCTGAACCATTTCTCCTGTCTTCTTTTGCGTCCCAGAATTAAACAACAAAGATAATAATAACTAAAGTTGATATATTTTTATTCATTATACACAGAAAACGTATTACAATACGTATCGTTTGAAAAGTCTATCTCGGTATATCGGTAAAAATCTTAAATTAATTATTATCGATGTGAAAATTGTGTAATCGATACAAAAGCTATTGTGATGAAATAAAGGTTTTTTTCTACATACACAATACGGAAAGTTGTGTCTCCCTCTAAATTATGTTGACCCGTGAAGATCCGGGGTAGAATAGGTCTTCAGCAACCCATGCTTGCCACAAAAGGCGACTATGCTTGTCGGAAGAGGCGAATAACGGGATCGGGTGGTCAGGCTCGCTGACTTGGTTGATACATGTCATCGGTTCCCAATTGCGCAGATCGATGCTCATACTGTTGATCACTGGATTGTCTGGTCCAGATGCGATTATTTACAGTACAACCAGAAATTATTGAGAATTTAAAGATTGTAAATATTTTATTTTTTTCACTCATTACTCACGTATTAAATGTGAATATTAGCAGAACATAACTCCAGATTCAAAGACAGCCGCCATATAGCTGGAATATTGCTGAGTGCGGCGTAAAACTAAACTCACTCACTCACTAAATTATGTTCAGAAGACTGTTTTGTTAGTAATCCATGCATAAGTATGGCGCCGATGTGAAATATCCGTCAGACTATTTTAGCGTTTTTGCTCAAAGTTCCTTTCCCCAATACTTATTGATAATAGATCGATATTTAGTTAACGATTATCGAACTCTGTTATCTGTATCGATAGCCAGCTCAAGGTAATGCGGGCAGTCCTGGGCTTCACACGGATGTATTGTTATTCCCCACCAGGTCTTTTCCCCACCTGACCATTTCCCCACCGGGCCATTCCACACCTGGCCATTTCCCCACCTGGCCATTCCCCACCTGGCCATTCCACACCTGACCATTTCCCCACCTGGCCATTCCACACCTGGCCATTTCCCCACCTGGCCATTTCTACACCTGGCCACTTCCCCACCCAAGAATATTATTGCCTGGTCATTAATAATTAATTAATCACCACCTCTTTGAAAACACCTCCCAAACTTGAGGAGTTAATTAGTGCAATTAGTATTCCATGAGCTATATTCATAGTATTATTATACTAACATTTGTTTGGCGCCAATATCCAATTCAGCTGCTCAAAGGCGCTTTGATTTTCCCTCGATCATCGGATGTCAAACTCGAACGGCACATCGTGTTATCAATCTCAACTTGCCGAGTTAATGTGGCTTTCCCATCCTAACGAGGTACCCACTCACAGCTGGGTGGACTTGGACACATAGTCACAGTACTTTGTCCAAGTTTATTGCACGTTGCTGTACCCGCCACTAGGTGTTTGCACCATCTGGTGAGAGTTGGAACCGTGGATTTCGTCATCCCACGGAAATGCATCGTCAGACCGCGGCTCCAAGGATACTGCCAATGTGTTGACGCGGTTGCACCGAGACCGTGAAGGCCTGCCACCCACCAAACGAGTGAAACGTATGGCAGTTAATCACCAGCAAAAATTACAAACACTATCTACTTCATATGCAGACGGTGAAAAAAGGTATCAGAGAACATATCAACTCAGCTACCAAGAAAATCCGCCTGAATGTTACAGAATGAAATGTATTTTACACTACTTCTTGTTCAGTCATTCTTATATTTGAGTGAAATAACAACCAAATAACAGGAAGGTGGGAATATGACCGGCCAGATATATATTTGGATGGGGTATTGTCCGGGTGGGGACATAACTGGATCCCGCTTCACACAACGTACCCATTTGAGGAATCGAAACTGGGTCTTTGGCGTGACGAGCGTTAACGACTAGTCTACCATACCGGCCCGATACTTGGAAAAACTCAACCGGTAGGGGGGACTATTGAGGGGGAAACAACTATTAATAGCGATAGTCTATTGCAACAAACTATTGCGACTGCGACAGTCTTTTGAGACCAATTTCTCCTTGCATTGTCTCATTTGAGATCATTTCCCAAATGCATTTAAAGTTTATATGAAACGAAAACAAGTTGAAGTTGTTTCAGTATCTTTCAATAACTGACAAGAAACTTGAAACCCCGATCAATTAAACAGTTAAAACATAAACTCAGTGAAGATGCACGTCTGCACCCAAACAATAAAAACATACAAAACGACATAAATATTTAGTCTTTTAGCGGCATTTAGAACTTGTATATAGACTTGTATTTAGATGTTGTGTGAGAAAGAAAAAAGAAGCTTTAATCCATAAAAAATATCTTGGTCAACATAAATATTTGTCAACGAAAGTCAATTACTGAACTACCGATAGTCACACATACTATCGATGCATCGATATGTGTTCGTTTCCACCACCGATGAATTGCTATCGGAGACTCAACAATTGCAATCAATCGATAGTTCGATGCATTGTTACAGCCTTATTAACCGGACCCTTACCAATAAAACCTTGATAGGAACGTAGAAACGTGATAGGAGAATCTGTATTCGTATATCTGAGAATGTAGTTAGTTCTTCATACAAATAATGAAGATCCGACTTTTTCATTTACGTTTGAAACCGTGGATTACATTTCATGCCGTGAGTTTAAAATTTCCCGTTTCCATCTGTACTCTGAAATAGGGATACAATAGACAAAGGTTAATAAACACTGTGTAAGGAGCTTGATTAAAGGGACTACTACAGAGTGAAAATATTTCAGTTAGCACCACGCCAGTAATCAAACACCACATCAGGGGTCCACTTCAGCAGTAATTATGAAACCCGTGATATCTTAGTCTTGACAAATCGAAATTCAATATCCAGTGTTATCTTAATAATTACAGGTGTAATGTACTGTAATAACGGTTTGTTGATTGTTGGAGGATGATGGGGCTTGTTACACCTCGGGAGTGCACCTGCATGCGATGATTGTGTACGTGTGGGCAGGCTGTTACCAATGACGTGTTTGATGGTGGCGGGTGGGGAGCGGGCTGGTGGCACTTGGTGGGAGGGTGATGGTTTAAGAGGGCTGGGGTGTGAGGATCGAGATTGATGTTCAGGGCACATCGTCATGTGAGCGATATATTCTCAAGCACGACGTAAAACCCAATTTCACCTCACATACAATGATCGAGGGGAAAACAAAGCGCTTTGAGCATGCATGTAGATGAGATGGACCATAGCGCTATACAAACATTGTCTGTTTAGGCTGCGTGTAGAGGGGACAAGGGCCCTGAGCTGATGATGAGATTTACAAGCCTGACTGTGCCAGGGTCACCCGAACCCTCTCTGCTGCATTTTTATTTTATCTGTAAAACATAATAATAATAATTTACAAGATTAATCCCTTTGAGGAATATGTTGCCCTGTACATTAGTGTTGGGAACTGGCTAAAATCTCATAATTGATGATTGGTTCATTACAACCGATCAATCATCAAAATAATTGGTTAGCGTCATTCATGAAATTTGTTAATGCACAAACATATAAGGAAAAAACATGTAGTTCTTTGGGGTCTTTGGGGGCAAAACTTCACATCTGTAAAGGATGACTAGTATGTTAGGAACATACATTTCTTGGTGTCTTTAAGATAAATTCAATCATGACTTGGAACGAGCTTGTAGTGCTTATGAATTGTAACATACAAAACCAACCTTGTGATAAATACTGTTAATGAAAACAAGTGTTCCAGAATTGTTTGTGTTTGATCATGAGAAAACATGATCGATTGCTTGGTCGTTTAGTCACTGCGACCAATCTTCGATTATTTCAATTAGTCGGACCACCACTAACGTATATACATTGTTCGTTAAGACAAACACCAACCCCAGTCTTTGTCTCCTTTTGGGAGGCTAGAGTCGATCCGTGAGGTGAGGTGAGGTGAAATTGGGTTTTGCGTCGTGCTTGAGAATATTTCGCTCATATGACGACGTGCATGCGCGTGTATGTGTATGTGCGGCTGCTTGTACTAGCCCAGACTGAAGCTGGTTTTATAGTGCTAGCCCACTGAGATACCATGCCGCAGTGAAGCATGAATACCCCACTCAGACACATTATACTGACTCCGAGCCGACTAGTCCTTGTTGTACCCATTAATGCCGAGCGCCAGGCAGGGACAAACAAGTACCATATGTTAACGTCTTTTGGTTTGACGCGGTCGGGGATCGAACCCGCGACCTTCCGCTCTCCGGGCGGACGCTCTAACCACTGCACCACGGAGGCTAGAGTCGATCCGTTATTAATGTTTATTGAGTTGAGTGTAATGGAGTAAAACAGATGTAACGTAGGTTTGATTCGTGTTCTGGTTATATAGCGGCTTAATGTGGAGGAAATGTCTACCACAAGCTAGGCTTTAGGGTACTACTTAGTTTTACACCGCCTTTAGCAGTATTCCAGCAATATGGCGAGGGACACCAGAAATGGGCTTCACACATTGTACCTATGTGGGGAATCGAACCCGGGTCTTCGGCATGACGAGAGGGGTAGCCTAGTGGTTTAAGGGTTCGCTCGTCACACCGAAGACATGGGATCGATTCCCCACGTGGGTGCAATGTTTGAAGCTCATTTTGGTGTCCGCTTTGATATTGCTCGAATATTCGATAAGCGGCGTTTGGACAAATTTTACCTGTGTAATGTTGAGTTTCATCTCGTTAGGGTTATCTAGACTACTCCACAGGATCCCATTTGCGTAGATCGATGCTCATGCTGTTGATCACTGGATTGTCTTGTCCAGATGCGATTATTTACATTTAGCCGCCATATAGCTGGAATATTGCTGAATGCAGCATTAAACAACAAACAAATAACACCTTGATTAAATCTGAGATAGTTCCCCCGTCGACATACAAACGTTGCCAGTGTCATGTCAACTGAAAACGAAAGTAGCTAAATAACTATAAAATAGCCTCACATTAGCTCCCCCTATGAACTAACAAGTTCCTCCCGATAGTGATATTCCTTTATGTTTAACGGCGCTTCAATCTCCCGAATATTTCTGAATTTACTGGAGCGAAATGTTAATAGGTTCTTTTCCCCCATTCATTATTAAACGCCAAAGCGTTTTGAAATGCATGCATTCATGATGTAATATTTTTTGCAAAACATATTCCTTCCTGTCTTTAAATGTAATATAGCTTCACAAAGAATATCCTCATGGGATTTTGATGTGAATATATGATATTGAACAAATCAATTGAAACGACGGGTTAAAACCTTGTACAAGATTGACATTTACATATCAAAGGAATAAAATTCCCAATTCATTTTACTTTAAGGAAAAAAACACCTTCGAAGCAATTTGATGCAGTTAATCCTTCACCATTATAATGTAGCTTTGACGTTAAGAGGGGCGGTGGGGTAGCCTTGTGGTTTAAGCCTTCATTCGTCACTCTGAAGATTCGAGTTCGATTCACCACAAGGGTACAATGTGTGAAACCATTTTCTGGTGTCCCCCGCCATGATGTTGCTGGACTATTGTTAAAGCGACGTAAAATTCACTCACTCACTCCAAAGATTATATTTATTGAACACGATTACACTCCCTACTTTGTTTCGAAGCGGACATATGAGTGATGTAATACACCCGACGATCACAATGTAACCTTTCAAAACCTTTAAGGGGCGGTGGGGTAGCCTATTGGTTAAAGCGTCCGCTCGTCACGCCGAAGACCCGGGTTCGATTCCCACAAGGGCACATTGTGTGAAGCCCATTTCTGGTGTCCCCCGCCGTGATATTGTTGGAATATTGCTAAAAGCGGCGTAAAACCATACTCAGTCAGTCAAAAGCTTTTACGAATAATCACAGTAATGTACATTGTCATAATCCTCACTTGCATGCATGCTCAGAACTTTACTTCATAACCCTGGTCAATGCATCAGTGTACTTTCGGTTTAATTCTCTGATCTCAGTGAGTGAGTGAGTGAGTTTAGTTTTACGCCGCTTTTAGCAATATTCCAGCTATATTACGGCGGCGGACACCAGAAATG